CTCCCTGCCCCCTGGGGGACCCCCGCCCGCGGGATCCCTCGCCCTCTCCTAACGTCTTTTCGCTTTTGGTCTCGGCCTCGCCTTTACCCGTTCCCGCCTGTGACGGACGTTTTGTGTTTTCCTTTCTTTTCCTTTAATTTTCTCCCTTTTTAAAATCTTCTTCTTCCGGAATCGTGAGTTGGGAGGGTGGGCAGGCGCGATTTTTTGACAGCGGCCCTGCGCGCGTGTGGCTCCGCGGGGTCCCCCGAAAGCACCCCGACTCTCTGTGTGTGCGCGTGTGTCTGGGTGTGTCGCGAGGTGTGTGTCTGGGTGTCCATGTGTGTACGTGTGTGTCTGTGTGGTGTGCAGGTCTGCCCATCTGGGCGGTGCTTGTGTCTGTGCTTCTTTGTGCTGTGTGTGTGCGCGCGCGCCGGCGTGTTTCTCCACGCAGGGATTTGAGCGCCACGTCTGATTGGAAGTGAGGGCGGGCTGGAGATTTGTTTGGCCCTGCAGAACAAGCGCGTTTTATTTGAAGCCGCCAGAGGGGCGGAGAGACCTCGTAGAGACCCGGCACCACCTCCCCACCACCTCTTGGCTCTGGGTTTAGCCCTGCCTGTGTGCCGATACACACGTGCCTTCCGCTCCCCGAGGCCTCGGGGTCTCCTCTTATGAAAAGAGGGTTCTTAGCCAGGTGTGGTGGCTCACACCTGTAATCCCAACACTCTGAGAGGCAAAGGCAAGAGGATTGCCTGCGTCCAGGGGTTCGAGACCAGCCTGGGCAACTTGGCAAGCCCTCTCACTACAATAAATTGAAAAATTAGCTGGACGTGGTGGTGTGTGCCTGTAGTTCCAGCTACTTGGAAGGCTGAGGCGGAAGGATCATCTGAGCCCAGCGGGGCGAGATTGTGGTGGCCATGAGTGTGCCACTGCCCTCCAGCCTGGGCAACAGAGTGAGACTCCGACTCAAAAAAAAAAAGAGAAAAGAAAAGATAATACTTAACTAGGTTTCTCTGGGAATCTAGCCCTTAAGCCTAAGAAAGAGCCCCTGATCCTGAGGGCCCCTGACTTTCCTCTCCTGTGGAGTCACAGTTCCTTGAAAGTTGGAGGTTGTTGAGAGTCAGCCTGAGAAGGAAACTTCAGGGTCTTGCCGCTTGGGGATTCCAGCCTTATTAGACACGTGGCACCATGACAGTTACCCCCAGGAGGGACTCTGAAGGGAAGTGAGATTGTGAGGGGAGGTGGGGTTGAGGATCTCACTCCATGAAGCCCGGAAGTTCAGGATGAGCATCATAACAGAAAAATTATAGTTATAATCACAACAGCTGTCACATCTTACCACTAGACAGTAACTGTATGAAACAGGTGTGATTATTAGCTCTACTTTACAGACAAGGAAACTGAGGCTCAGAGAGGCGAAGGCACTTGGCTGAGGTCACACATCCAGGAAGCCATGGGGCTCCGATTGAAGTTCAAGTGGCAGGCTCCAGAGCCCACAGTTCCAGCTGCTGGGAGGCCTCCCGAGGAAACACTCACATTGACCGACACTCCCAAGTGCCAGGCCTGGCCTAAGCAAGTCGGAGCATTGACTTATTCACAGTGTGCTCAGGGAAGGCCAGGCCGGGCTGTGCTTCAAGCACGGGGTGTCCAGAGTGGGAATGCAGAGATGCAGGGGGCTTGGGCGGTCACCACGCGTGGCCCCACTCAGCCTCCGATGGCCGTGCCTCACCTGTCCCACAGGACCATGATGCCGAGCTGCCATCGTTCCTGCGGCTGCAGCCATGGCCCCAGCATGGAGGACGGCAAATGGTATGGGGTCCGCTCCTACCTGCACCTCTTCTATGAGGATTGTGCAGGCACCGCGCTCAGTGACGACCCTGAGGGACCCCCGGTCCTGTGCCCCCGCCGGCCCTGGCCCTCACTGTGCTGGAAGGTAAGATCCAAGGAGCAAGCCCTCTGGTTCATGGAGGAGTTGGGACTGGATTTGAGTTCGGAGGAAAGAACAAAAAGAGACAGTGTAGTAGTCTTGCTTGTTCAAGCAACAGAAAACCCAGCTCAAGAGGGTTTAAATGATAAAGGGAAAAAAATAGTGCTCATTTTTTAGAAGAGACAGAGGTTGGGTGCCTTCAGGCCAAGTTTTATCCAGCAGTTCAAATCAGTGCACCAAGGACTTTGTGAGGTTTCTTTTAGTCCTCAGGCTCCCCACAGTGTCCCCACGCCTGTAGCCCGTTAGCTTCAGGCTCTCTCCACATGTCCCTAAGTGCCAGTTGCTGTGCTGACCTTCAGACCTTCACTCTATAACACCCAAGTTTCCTCCAGTATTTCCTTCAGGAAAAAAAAAATAATAATGCAGATAGCCAGAAGTTAAGAACACATTACTGGCTGGCCTTGGTAACTCAGCCTATAATCCTAGCACTTTGGGAGGCCGAGGCAAGTGGATTGCCTGAGCCTGTGGGTTCGAGATCAGCAGAGCAACTTGGTGAGACCTCATCTCTACAATTAAAAAAAAAATTAGCTGGGCGTAGTGGCACACACCTGCAGTTTTGGTTACTTGGAAGGCTGAGGTGGAAGTATCGCCGGTGCCCAGCAGGTCGACGCTGGGGTGGCCGTGAGCTCCAGCCTGGGTGACGGAATGAGACTCCAACAAAAAAAAAAAAAAAAATTAAAAATAACATTACCATTTATGTTAGCACCAAAAATAAGAGAATTATTTAGTTTCAAATCTAACAAAATGCATACAATATGAGGAAAACTATAAAATTGTGAAGAAAGGTATCAAAGAACTAAATAAATGGAGAGAGATTCCATGTTCATGGATAGGAAAACTCAATACTGTCAAGGTGCTGGTTCTTCCTAACCTGATCTACAGATTCAATGCAAGTCAGTCAAAATTCCAGCAGGTTATTTTGTGGAAGTAAACAGACTGGTTCTACAGGTTATACAGAGAGGTAAAAGATCCAGGGGAACCAGAAATTAAAAACACATTGCCATTTACAAGAAACAATGCTTTTCATTCCCAGAAGTTTTGGCAAGCATTGCATTGGTTCTGATGGGGCCACTGGCCAGCCCTGAACTAATTGCTGTGGTCAGGGGATGAAATGGGCTGCCTGATTAGCTGGGTGTGGTGGTGCGCACCTGTAGTTCCAGTTACTTGGAAGACTGAGACGGATCACCTGAGCCCAGCAGGCTGAGACTGTGGTGGCTGTACTGCACTCCAACCTGGGCGACAGAGTGAGACAGAAAGAAAGAGAGAGAGAGAGAGAGAGAGAGAAAGGGGCTGACTGGCCAGAAGTGGGGTTCATCTCACTTAAATCTTACTGTGGTTTCCCAGTGATGTATAGGGGTTCCTTGTCTGTGGAAAGATGTGAGGAGAAACACAATTGATGTCCATAATAGTCAAGGGGAGTGATCAGCCAGGAGACACTACATGGGTTAAGGTGTGGAGGTGGCAATGAGCCAACTCCTGGCCAGGTGTGGTGGTTCATGCCTGTAATCCCAGTGCTTTGGGAGGCTGTGGTGGGAGGATCATTGAGATCAGGAGCTCGAGCCAACCTGGACAACATAGTGAGACCTTGTCTCCACAAAAAGTAAAAATTAGCCAGGTGTGGTTTTGCACACCTGTAGTCCCAACTACTTAAGAGGCTGAGGCAAGAGGATCATTTAAGCCCAGAAGTTTGAGGCTACAGTGAGCTATGATCATGCTACTGCACTCCAGCCAGGGTAACAGAGCGAGACCCTGCTGCAAAATCAAAAACAAAAAACCCACAAAACACACACACACACACACACACACACACACACACACAAGCTGAGTCCCTATGATGAGCATAGCTCTTTGCTCAATAGCGTAGGGAGACTGAGGCAGGAGCTTCCTCCTGCTGTCAAAGAACTTCACTCTAGTGGGGAGGCAAGGTGCCAATCTGTGCAGAGAGGCCAACCTACCTGAGCTCAGGTCAGGTGTACAGAGGATGCCAGGAGAGAAGTGGTCTCAGTGCCTGGGGTGATCAAGGAAGACTTCCAGGAGAAAGTGAGTATGTGTTTAAAGTTTTTGAGCATCTTTTTATTGCCAGGCACTTGGAGACACAGAATTTAAGACATGTCCCTGTCCTTAAGGAACTCATAGCTCTGGTTCACTTAGTCATTCAGCAAACATTTATTTAGCCTCTATTCTGTGCCAGCACCATGCGAAACATAGAAGACACCTAGTGAGCCAAAACAGGCATAGGCTCTGCTCCCAGAGGGCTCTCCGTTCTGTGGGACCGGCAGACATCCCTTGCATAGTAACCAAAATACATGTCCGAGTGGGCACTGCAGTGACATCCTGGAAAACAAACAGGCAGAGTGCAGAACAGGGGTCCTGCCCCAGCCGAGGGTCTCCTCCTTGAAGAGGTGAGCTGTGAGATGAGATCTGACAATCATAGGAGTTAACCTGACAGAGAGATACAGAGTAGAAAGGACAAGAGGATAAATTGGGACCTAAGTAAGGGTGAACAGCCTGGGCAGCACAGCGAGACCTCATCTCCACAAAAAAAATAAAAAAAATTAGCCAGGCATGGTGGTGCGTGCCTGTAGTCCCAGTGACTCAGGAAGCTGAGGCAGGAGGATCACCTGAGCCCAGAAGGTTGAGGTTGCAGTGAGCTGTGATCATGCCACTGCTCTCCAGCCTGGGTGACGGAGTGAGACCCTGACTCAAAAAAAAAAAAAAAAAGATGGAGAGGGACTCAAGGTTGGCCAGAGAAATCTGTTGCTAGGTGGGAGCTCGGAAGAAATTTAATCCAGAGGGCTCAAGACTCCAAAGAGAACATGACAGTTGATGTCCCCTCTCTGTTAGACCCCAGCAAGTGTGTGCTGTGATCCCCATCTCTCAGGGAGGGCCAGAGGTTGCCTTTAAATCCATGGGGCTCCAAGGTGACCCCTGGGCCTGGGAACTCTGACTGACCCTGACCACCTCCTGGTCTATCTGCCTCTCCCTAGATCAGCTTGTCCTCAGGGACCTTGCTTCTGCTGCTGGGTGTGGCGGCCCTGACCACCGGCTATGCGGTGCCCCCCAAGCTGGAGGGCATTGGCGAGGGTGAGTTCCTGGTGCTGGATCAGCGGGCAGCTGACTACAACCAGGCCCTGGGCACTTGCCGCCTGGCGGGCACGGCACTCTGTGCAGCGGCCGGGGTCCTGCTGGCCATCTGCCTCTTCTGGGCAATGACGGGCTGGCTGAGCCAAGATGCCAAGGCAGAGCCCCTGGACACCGAAGCCGATGGCCACGTGGAGGTCTTCGGGGACGAACAAGAGCAGCAGCTGTCCCCCACCTTCTGCGATGCCAGTGGCCAGGCATGGCTCTCACCGCCCGCCAGCCCCTTTGGGCACTCTTCCGTGCAGACCATTCAGCCCAAGCGGGACTCTTGAGCTGCCCACGTGGCCAGAGGATGAGCAGACCTGGGCCCTGGACCCTTCCTTCTCCCACCACATGCTCCCCTCCTGCCATCTCCCCAGACTTCTCCCTCTTAGCAGGGCCCCTTTTATCCAAGCCCCAGAAGGTCCAACTCCAGGTCACATCTGGGGCTCAAATCCTGGTACCCCTTTCCCGGGGGTAGGGCCCCAGCTCACTCAAGATGCCAACCTTCCTAAGGTCCTCCCAGAGCTTCCCACCTACCTCCCCTTCCCAAGGCCCTCCGGGCCGGAAGGTATCTCCCTCAACCCATCCTCACTCTCTTCTGTGTGACCTGGGACAGACCTCTCATCCTGCCTCTGCTCCGAGGGGTTTGAACCAGACCCTAGAGTTCTGTGATACTCCTTTCTTCCCCAGGTTATAAGCACTATCCGCCCTAGACAAGGATGGGGGAGGGGCAGAGGGGTCACTCGGTCACCAGGATGACTCAGAATGGGTCCAGGATGCTCCCCGGGCCTTTCAGGGTTCTCTCACTGTGTGTTTTCTGCTGGCATTTTGACATCAGAGCTCCACCGTCCACCTATCATGGCCCAGCGGGGGGGTGAGGGAGGCTGGGAGGTGACATGTGCAAGGTCACGCAGCAGGAGGATCTGCATGTTATTCTACAGCTAGATCAGAGCCCCACCTCTTCCCAGCTTCCAGGGGATCCCCAGGATGGGGGGACAGATTTGGCCCAGAGAGACTAGCCGGAGGCCCAGGGGTCCCAGGTGGCTCCAAAGAGACTTTGGACCTGGGTTTGGATGGTCTTTAAGGCCAGGGCGCAGGAGAAGCGGGTGTCTTTGCTCCCCCAAGTCCACCCAGCTGGAAACCGACGCCCACAGCCTTGACCCTGACCCTGATGACCCATGGGCCCTTGACGGGCTCCCCAGCCGGAGGCGTCATCGCTCTTCTGTACCGCTAGGGGGAGCGCCGAGACGGCTGGAGACTCGCGCTCCGGGTCGCGGTCCCCTCCCCCTCCTCAGTCTCCCCGGGAGGGTCCTCGGTTCTGCCCCCACCCGGCCGAACTCGGCCGTCCCCGTGCCCCACGCCCCCTCCTCCTCTGCGCCCCTCCCGTGCCGCCCTTCAATAAACAGCCGGGACGGATGCTGGCTTGGCTTCTTTTCTCCCGGGCCACGGGACGTGACCAAGCTCTCGCGGGCGCCCAGCGCTCGGGCCCGCGGTTCTCGATGGCTGCCCGGGACAGCCTCGGAGAAGGGGGTTATTCACTTCGCAGACGCCGTGACCGATGGCCCGAGGGGCGAAGTCACTTGCCCAAGGAGTTCCGGGAGGAGGGTCCGTGCTCGCCTGCCGGGCCCTCTGCCCAGAGAGGGGGCCTCCCGTCCCCGGGGGGGAGGACGTGCCTCGGGCCCTCTGGAGACGCGACCCCCCACCCTTGAGAGGAACGTGAGGGCCGGGGGCGGGGGGGGGCTGCGGCCAAAGGAAGAACCGCCGGCCCTGTGGCGCCTGCCCGGGGCCAGCCCCTGCTCTCAGGGCTCCTGCAGCGCATTCACTTGACCCTGGGAACAGCCCAGAAGGTGAGGACTGCTTTTCCCAGGACTGGCTCCGACCTCTCTGCCCCCTGCATTCACCGTGAGGTCAGATTTCAACTCACTCCCAATCGCCCCCCCAACCTGCCCCTAGCAGGCCCGTCCTGGGGCTGCCCCAGCCGAAGCCCCCCTTTCCCCAAGCCGGCATCCGGTCCCTCTGCAAGTCCTGTCGGCTCAACCTGGGGTGCATTCTGTACCCAGCCGCTTCTCGCTACACCACTGCCAGCTCCGGGTCTGAGCCACCATGGACTCCCACGTGGAGCGCTACCCCAGCATCCCCCTGGTCTCTCACCTTCTGATTTGGCACCACCCGGACACATCCTGTTAGAACGAACGTGAGGTCGTGTTTCTCCTCTGCTCAGAACCCTCCGTGGCTCCCACCTGACTCAGAGGAAGAACCAAAGCGTTCCCCATGGCCTGCAAGGCCCCACACCATTTGCTCACCTCACCCCCACCTTCCTCTGCAGCCTGGGCTCCCACGGCTCTCCCGCTTCCAGTCTCCCCTCCAGCCCACCCGCCTCCTCACTGGCCCTTCAACAGCTGCCGGCTCCTGACTTGAGCCTTTGCTTAGCTGCTCCCTGGGCTGGTGTGTGCTCCCCCAGGTGACAGGGGCAACTCCCTCAGACCCTTCAAGTCTCTGCTCAGACATCAGCCTCTTAGTGAGGCCTTCCCTGAGCAGCCCGTTTAGAAATGCCCTGCCACTTCACGCCCTATCACCCCACACCCTGTGCACACTGGACCCTGGTCTCGCTTCCCCATAGCATCCGTCCTCTTTCAGCGTCCTACCTTGTTACATCCTATTTGGCATCCTATTGTTACATCCTTATGTATCTCCTGTCTCCTCCGCCACATAAAAGCACCACGAGAGCAAGTATCTTCACTTGTTTACTGACATAGCCCAAGGGCCTAGAACAGTGCCTGGCACATAGTAGATGCTCAATAAAAATGTGCTGAATAAATCAATCCTAGTTTTACAGATGGGACTTCGAGACATTTAAGCAACTTGCCCCAGGATGCACAGCTAGGAAGTGGCTGAGCTGGGATTCAAACCAAGCAGTTGAGTGTCAGAGTCCACAGCCTGCCTTACGACACTAACATGGTTTGAAGCCCAGAGTTGGGTACACAACCTGAAGTGCCAACGGGTGTATCCTATCCAGGTGTTTGTTGCCATGTGGAAATGGGAACCGTGTTAACAGATTCTTTTTTTCCAGAGAAGTTAGGAATCCACATTTTTTTTTTTTTTTGAGTTGGAGTTTCACTCTGTTGCCCAGACTGGAGTCCGCTCCTGGCCACCGCAGCCTCTACCCACTGGGCTCTGGCGATCCTTCCACCTCAGCCTTCCGAGTAGCCAGAATTACAGGCGCGCGCTACCACGTCCGGCTGATTTTTTATTTATTGTAGAGATGAGGTCTCGCTGCCCAGGCAGGTCTCGAACCCGCGGGCTCAGGCAATCCACTCACCTCAGCTGGAATCCACATTTTTAAATGAAATGTATCCATCTTAAAATACAAATATCTGATTGGAAGTTTGACTAAGTGCTGCGTTCCCAGGGACAGCCTCGGAGCAACCCCGTGACCTCTCGACCTGAGCATGCCAGGTCAGTGGCCACGGCCGATAAGGACCCGGAAGGAATCTCACACTGCCCGAACAGCCCAGGAAACAGGTCAACGTGGGGTGCATCCTTCCCAACTGCCATGAGAAGCCAGTCCTTGTCCATAACCCAGTAAATCCCAGGCGTCCACGCAACCCAGGCCCACAGAGGATCCCGTTCCAGAGAAGCGGTGTCCAGTCACCAAAATTACTTCCCAATACTGCCCACGGTCTCTCGAAACATTATCCCTTGAAAAATGTTAAGGAGGTTCCTTTTCACTCTTGTTGCTTAAGGGGGATATATTATCCTGGATTGAATGATGTATCCCCAAAATTCATGATCCCTGGAACCTATGCATGTGGCCTTACTCAGAAATTGAGTCTTTGCAGACATAATCAAGTTAAGATGAGGTCGTGTTAGCCCCAGTCCAACGACTGACATCCTTATTAGAAGAGGGGTATTTGGACACACACACCGACAGAGGGAAGATGGCCTCAGGACAAGGCAGAGACCCGAGGGACACATCTACAAACCAAGGTTCAGCAAGGGTTGCCTGCAGCCACCAGGAGCTAGGAGAGGCAGGGAAGGGTCCTTTTCTAGAGTCTCAGAGGGAGTGTGGCCCTGCCAACACCTTGATTTCAGACATCCAGTCTCCAGATGGTGAATAATAAATTTCTGCTATTTTGTGCCACCTGGTTTGTGTGACTTTGTTAGAGCAATCCCAGAAAACTGATATAGGGCAAGTATTGGTGCAGTCTATGGAAGAGGAATGAAAACTCCGTGCACCCGTGGAGTCCTTCCCTTACACAGGTGTACCTGCAGGCTACATTCCCCAGGCTGGAGCCCTGCAGTACTGTTTGTAACGGAAGGCGTTTGGAAGTAGCCTCAATGCTTGGCAGGGGGAGAGTGAATCAAGGCATCTGTCCCCTGGGATGCGAAGTGGAAGAAGGAGAAATCTCTCTATGTACTGATCTGCGCCGATCTCCATGTTATAGGTTAAATGAAAAGGTGCAAGCTGCAGAACGCCATGGATACTTTGCCACCATTGGTGTAAAAAGAAGACAGGCCATTGTTGTTGTTAAGCACAGGTCAGGCCATGTGTTCGTTGAGCTATGGCCGCGTGTTTTCCTAAGCTTTGGCCCCCTCCCTTACATTGGGGAGGTGAATGTCCTCTCTCTCTCTTTTATTTTCTAAATAAGCTGTATTTTCCAATCAAAAAAAAAAGAAGATTTATGGTTATTCCTTGGTTGCATTCATGGAAGGGACATGATGGCTGAGGTCAAGGGTGGAAAGGAGACTTTCACCCATTTTTCATTTTGAACCATGTGAAAGTATCATGCATTTTATTTATTTATTTATTTTGAGTAGGAGTCTCACTCTGTTGCCCAGACTGGAGTGCAGTGGCAGGCTCATGGCCACTGCAGCCTCAACCTGCTGGGCTTAGGCGATTCTTCTGCCTCAGCCTTCCAAGTAGCTGGAACTACAGGCGTGCGCTACCATGCCTGCCTAATTTTTGATTTATTGTAGAGACCAGTTCTCACCAAGTTGCCCAGGTAGGCCTCGACCTGCTGGGCTCAGGCCATCTGCTTGCCTCAGCCTCCCAAAGTGCTGGGATTACAGGCTAAGCCACCAAGGTCAACCATATTATGTATTTTTAAATAATTAACTTTAGATTTTTTTAAAGAAGACCATTGATAATTACATTTTTTAAATGGGGGAGAAGAGACAAATGTTTATTACAGAAGAATTCCAATTAATAAATGTAGAATGATGAAAAGAAACAGAAAACTGTCATTACAACACCACGGTAATAATTGTTGCTGGCAAAATCTACCAATGAATGATAAAATGAGTGAGTGAAACTTAAAGGTAAAACAGGATTTTTTTTTTTTTAAATTTTGAGTCAGAGTCTCATTCTGTCACCCAGGCTGAAATGCAGTGGCACCCTCATGGCCACTGCAGCCTCGACCTGCTGGGCTCAGGCGATCCTTCCACCTCAGTCTTCCAAGTAGCTGGAAATACAGGTGTGTGCCACCACACCAGGCTAATTTTTTTATTTATTGTAGAGATAAGGTCTCCCCAAGTTGCCCAGGCTGGTCTCGAACCCGAGGGCTCAGGCAATCCTCTCACCTCGGCCTCCCAAAGTGCTGGGATTATAAGCGTAAGCCACCACGCCCAGCCAGAATTTTTTTATTTTTTTAGATGGTGTCTTGCTATGATGTCCAAATTGGCCTTGAATTCCTGGGCTCAAAGGATCCTCCTGCCTCAGCCTCCTGAATAGCTGGAACTCCAGGCCACCCTCCCTGGTTTGAAACAGAATATCTGCATAGTCTAACCTTATCTCCTCCCCAAATTCATATTACTTACTGTGGAGGTTTTCACAGGTATGCACAAGTTCTTTGACTTCCACTGTCTAGGAAATGGAGCTTAATTTTCCTCCTCTTGTGTGTGGGCTAGATATAACTTGCTTCTAACAGGCAGAATGTGGATAGAAAAAGAGTGACTTCACGGTAGAAAAATCTGGCAGACACCATCTTAACCAAATGATCAAGGCATGGTCCAAGGCCAGCACCGTCAGCACCAAGTCTTGTTGACATCACACCCTCTGAAATGATGCAGTGAGAAGGGTGTGTCCCTGGGGCTGTTCCCCCGTGTTCCTAACTTCAGCCTAACCATGAGAAAACCATTCTATAAAACGTCTGACCAGCTCTCTTCAAAAGTGTCTAGGTCTGGCCAGGCACAGTGGCTCAAGCCTGTGATCCCAGCACTTTGGGAGGCTGAGGCGAGAGGATTGCCTAAGCTCAGGGGTTCAAGGCCAGCCTGGGCAATTGGGTGAGACCTCATCTCTACCAAAAATCAACAAAGTAGCCGGGCATGGTAGCACGCGCCTGTAGTTCCAGCTACTTGGAAGGCTGAGGCGGAAGGATCGCCTGAGCCCAGCAGGTCAAGGCTGTGGTGGCCATGAG